AAAATCACAAATATCCCGTTCGTTGAGGTGCCACGTGTCCTGAATTCTCGCCTCCCTGAGAAGTATCCAGGGCAAATCACGATAACAAAATAATAATACCTTTATAATAATAATAAAATACAAATCTCTCTCACTGATTTCTCACTGTTTCTCTCTCGCTGGTTAGTCTCGCATGCTAGTTAATCACGTGACCCATCACAAAATATGTCAATGTTCGTCTTGGCTCGTAAAGCTCCGTAATGAGCCCAGTTCGCTACACAGGTATATCCCATAGATTATGGATATTGGGATATTCAAAATTTCCAGCTCTGAAAGAGTTAAAATTGCTACTCTACTAACATAATATTGGATGTGATACTCTTGATACTTTGATGTAAATGTGATACCTTAAAGAGCTGCCAAGCTTAGATGATTAAAATGCTGGAGGTTATTAACAGATAGGCCAAAATAAACAGAGCAAGGTCATTGTGCAATTTATTTGCATGCTCTCGTCCAAAAATTGTGTTTTCTATGATCTTTAGACTGCTATTTTGTGCACCAGAAAGTGACAAAAAGTAAAGATTGGAAGGCATACTCTCTTGGGGGCATATTTGTTTCTTACCTCTGTACATTTTTTCAACGGATTTGGAGGAATTAGAACTACGGAACGTGCAATCATAAATGCGTTCCTTGCATTGAAACTTGCCGAGTTTGATCAAGAAAAATAATATATTTTCCCGAAATACTGTGAGATCTGTAAGTCCACATGTAAGACCCAATACCTGGACAGTGGACACTCAGGGTAAAATCCTGTAGCGTACTTTATGCATCAAGAACTGATTAATATGCACTGCTCATAGTGTTATAGAACGTTTTCAAGAGGATCTATGTGCTAGTCAGATCAGATAACAAATTTTTTGTCCTGAATCCATTCTGGAGAAAACTCTACTCAATCACTCAATGCCCCAAAGCAGCTAGCTGAAATGAATTATGCAAGAACTACCAGGCTTTGAAGATGACTACAATCAAGATCTGCTTACGGGAGAAGTGATTTGTAACATGGAAAAATCAACCAAGGAAAAAGTAGACAAACAAATGCAACAAAATTTGGTAATGAGAGATGCCACCCTTAACCAAATTATACAAGAAACTGGAGCAGAATCAGCAGACGGTACTTTTATTGAAAGGCTACACAGCAACCACAGAGGCAGTGGAATATAAGAGCATATTTAAAGTGAGAGGGACTGAAATCTAGGGGGGAATCGACGGAAAATGTGAAAAATTAAGCCTTGAAAATGCCATTTCTTGCACTCTCTGGTGCTAAAATGGAACAAAATTACTGACGAAAATGCTTAATAATCAATTTAGATGAACTAGCTGGTAGATGTATGATTTTAGGTGACTTACATGTAGATGTATCAATTATCCGGTAATGTTCTCTCTACGCTTTCATAATCTTCTTAAATTTCAATTTCCAACATGCGAATGGGGGTATATTCTGCCCCTTTAGCTCGATTCTCCTCTCCTGCCTTTCTCCTTTTGGCGAAAGAAGAAAATTTATGGGCCTGACTTCCCTGACATTCGGATTACTATTAAACTTTTAGGTATTGTAATAAAATATTTATTATTTAGCAGAAGAAAGGATTTCTGTTGCAAAGTATAAAGTATAGAAAAACCAGAAGGTTTATTGAGGCAGTTGGGAAATACAACAAAACTAAGAAAAAGGGCAGGATTTGGAAATGTTCAGGATGTCATTGGACATATAATGTTCCATGTTATGTGTCCCAAATTATCACGTGATTGTGCTAACCTGTAATCTAATCTTAATCCACTCTTTTGAGAATGTTACAATATGTCACTCCAGGGAAGATTATATATTAGTATAAATAGAATGCCATAGAATATAAGAACATCTGCCCCACCCCTTTGCTACTGTAAAACATACCAAGATTACTTTAATTAGGTGAAACGTATACCTTTATGTTGCAGTAAACTCATGCAGTGTTATGGCTTCTGTCGATCTGGAAGAAAAATCAAATTTTACAAGACTCAGTAGACTTTTAGTTGACAAAGGAACTGAAGCTTTGAGAAATACATTTGATGCCATACATCCTCCTGCCAACTTACCTGGGGTGCTCAACGCCAATCGAAAATCTCTTTTGAGGTTAAGATTTCGAGTTATTAATGATTCACAGTGGAATTTACTGTTTCCTCCATCCGGCAACCCACCAGATTCCAAAACCTTTGATGTTACATTACTTACAGTTCTGTTTCGGAACATTTGTGGCTTTACAGCACCACCAACAGGATGGGATACAATGCCTGTGAATACAGACAGGTCGGTGCAAGCAAACATCGTACGACTCAAGTCCTTTAGAAATGAAGTTTATGCACACGTGACGTCAACTCAATTGGATAATGCAACATTTGAATCGTTATGGCTGCAAATTGCCCAGGCTTTGGTAGAATTGAACATTCCACAGAATGATGTCGATGATTTAAAAACTTGTCCTTTAGCGCATGAAGAACAAATATATGTGGAGATGCTTAAAAAATTGAAATCGCAAGAAGAAGAGAGTACGAAAGTGTTTGAAGTGCTGACATCAATTGCTGAAGAAAGCCGCGATGGAATAAAACAACTCCATCAGTCAGTTTTGGAGCAACAAAGCGATATCCAAGCCCTCCAAAGTTCGGTCAATCATTCATCACAAGTTGTTAAGGATAATATTCTTGAGAAAAATTGCAGCAAAGAGAGTGATGAACATCTCTTGCGAAAACTCGCAACGCATAATTTCAAGAGCAAAATTAGAGGTAAAGTAAAGTTGTTCCATCCTGGCTCGAGAGAGTGGTTATTACAACAAGTGGACGAGTTTGGTAATAATAAGCATAACTCAAGTGTGTTGTTATTGACAGCTGGACCTGGATTTGGTAAAAGTGTGTTCGCTGCAAAAGTTTGTGAGGATTTTAAGAATAAGGGAAAGTTGGCAGCTTCTCACTTTTGTGACTTTAGTAATTCAAACCTAAGAGATCCTATGATGATGCTGCAGTCTCTCGCAAGTCAGATGTGTGAAAATATTACTGGTTTTAAAGAGAAGCTTCTTGATCATTTGAGGCGACCTCATCAAGTCCAAAGCTTAAAGGATGCCTTTAGAATATACTTGCAAAATCCCCTTGATGAATTGGATTTAGAAGAACCAACTTTAGTCGTGATCGATGGCTTGGATGAAAGTGCAGCAGATGATAAGAATGAAATTATGAATTTGATTGTTGATTATTTTCCAGATCTTCCCGAGTGTATAAAGTTCCTGGTGACCAGCAGGCCGGAGATTTCCATAGGCAAACTAAATGGTGTTCAAAAGATTAATATTGACAGCAATGATACCAACAATGACTTAGATCTTGAATTGTACCTTAAAGCTTGTCTTCCATGTCTAGCTGATAGGAAAGCAAAAATTCCTTGGTTTTTTGAATACGGAGATCCGGTTACAACTGTGTGTGAAGAGCTTGCTCAGACGAAGTGCCAGGGTTCATTTCTGTATGCGTTTTATGTTCAGTTTGAACTACGGAAACGAGATGATCTTGATAAGATGACATTGGATGAAATAATGACGTTTGTCCCAGAAGGCCTGGATTCAATTTACTTGAAATATTTTAATCGCCTTGAAAACGAGCTAAGAGCCATAAGGCATGGCTGTCTTGATGTGCTGAGAATTTTGGAAATGCTTGCAGTTTCTGAAGGCCCACTTCCCCTCAGTTTCATTTCTCGTGCTCTTGGTTTGGCTTCAGATTGTCGTGAAACGACAAAGATCATTAACAAAGTCAACGAAACGGTATCCTGTTTGCTCTACGTTTCTGATGATCTGGTGACCGTTTTCCACAAGTCCGTTATTGACTGGCTTCTTGCAGAAGGCTACAAAAATCACGAGTATGCCGTCAAAGTCAGTGATGGAAATAAATCCCTATGGCTGAGATGTGAACAAGTTTTTGAAGAAATTAAGAAGAGAATTTGCTCCTTAGATGACTTAGACTTAACTAATGACGTGAAATATGCTCTGGATCACGGCTTTCGATATCTCAAAGCATGTAATATGGAGGAAAGTTTCTTTTGGGTGGTAGATTTTGTAATCATATACGTATTTTTTACTATCTACCCCTTAAGAGGAAAGTATCTAGTACATCTCTGGGCAGAAATTCTTCAGGGTTCTGTGGTCACAAGTTACGAACTACGTGAACGCATTTTATGGCATGTCTTTGAAATTGACTTTCTGAGAAATAAATCAACGCTAAAGACGAGATCATATTATTTAAAAAGTGTCCTCACACATTCTCCTGAAGGATGTTTCAGTGATAACGAGAAGATAATTGCGGAGTCGCTTTTGTCGAAGGTTCGACGGTTTGTCGAGTACAGTAACTTTAATGAAGTGGATGTTTTACCTTTTGCAGCCTGGCATCATAATCCTTCAAGGCCAGAATATATAGATTGGGACGAGGTTTGGGAGCCAGGGATTAGCGCGGTTGGTTTGTCCCACGATAAGACAATGGCAGCCGTTGGAAACACGGATTGGACTATCAGTGTAATATGCGTACCAAGTTTGGTTAAGCTTTGGGAATATTCAGCAGAATTGGGAAGTGTGAACCTATCCACTCCAGTGTGTTGCGTATTCGCTCCAGACGATTCATTCGTTTTATTTGGGTTACTGGAAACTGTTCTTAACATTGCTGAAAGAAAGCTAGTAACATTTTTCCACGGAAGTAAAGAGGCGTTTTCGTCGTGTGCATTTTCTCCGAGCGGCAAGAGGCTGCTAACTAGCAACGGCTCAAACACCATTAAGTTATGGGACGTCTCTAGGCAAAGCTTGCTGGTGTCACTTTGTGCTGACGTACGTGTTGATTGGTGTTCTTTTAGCAGCACAGGGTTATTTATCATTGGAGATAGGAAAGATGCTGATCCTTCGTACGAAGACGTGGATTTCTTGGAATTAAACGATTTTATAATTCAAAACAGGAGATCAAAAGATTCATTTTGCGTTTGGAGTGCTATTACCTGGCAAAGAAGTGATGAGCGAAACATACGTTATGCAAAGCTAAAGGAACTACAGGTAGGAGTTTTGCAGAATAAGAAATGTAACCGTTGTTTTCGACAAGGATTTAAAGAATTAATCTCTTCCAGAAGATTAGAAAACGAACTTTGTGTGCCGTTGATATTTTCGGAAGGCCAATTCGAAGCCAGGTCGACGGGGATCTACAACGGTGTAAATTGTATTTTTTCTCTGAAAGGTTATTCTTTTAGTGTCATAGAAAGTACTCATTTCACCATACTCGCTTCTTGGAACGTTTTTGTTGATAAGCGGAATAATTATTGCCTTTGCAAAATAACAGCACTTGAAAATGATCTATGGTTTTACGCAGATGTGGAAAAATTAGTTGTCTTTAGGACATTAGCCACAACACAAGAACAACTTTCTCGCCTGCCACGTCCAACACGGGTTCTTTCAAGTTCGTTTTCTCCTGATGGTTCCCGACTTGCAACCTGTGCCTCAGACGGACATATCAACATATGGAATGTCGATACCAGCCAAGTTGAACAGCGTTTCAAAAGCAATCAAGGCGATTCTTTATTTGCTTGTTGGTGGTCGGAAGAGTTCTTGTTCGTGTTTGACTTTTTTGACAGGATTCCCCGCTTAACAAAATACCTGCATGTCAATTTAGAGATCCTGTTCTTTGTGAGCCTGCAAGTGTCGCTGTGTCATTTGTTGGAAGAGTTCGTATCCTTATCAGCACTTGTTGATTTTTCAGAGGGCTTACTCATTTTCAAGTGCGGAAATACGAAGCCTGTGAAAGTTCTTGATGTTAACGGAACAGGAGAACCGCGAATGGTCACCTTACCAGAAATTAAGGCTTGGATGGATATCATTGTATCGCCTGGTGCTTCCTTTGTCTTTGGTGGTAATATGAAGTTTTGTTGCATTTGGGAAAGAATTACCGAGGAACCAGTAACGTATGAAGTCATTTATTCTGACCATGATCTTTTTTTGGGATCATGCGAATTGCATTTTGCATGTTGTTTCACGAAGGATTCTAAAATCGCTGTTGTTCGGATCAAGTTGCCTGATATATGGCACTTTGATATAATAGACCTGGATAGTGGCGTTTACAAAAATATACGTCTGGAAGAATATCCTACTGGTTCCAAGCTCTTTTGTCTTAAAAAGGACAGAGTTGTTATCGTTCCATCTGATCACGTTATACATTTTATTGACATGGACTCTGGTGCGCTTCTCAATTCTTGTTTTCAAAGATATTTAACAAAGGATTCGCTAGAACAACTAAAACTTTCCCCAAAAGAAACCACGATACATACATACATACATACATAAAAATTTATTTAAACACGTTAGCCCTAACATCTTTTGATGGTTTCCATAGGGGACGTGTAAGAATAAGACTAATACATATTCTTAATACAGACTATTTACATGATTATTATTTTGACAATTAACAAACATAAATAAATAACAAACATACAAAACTATTTACATACTTATGGTTTTCGAAAATGTTGTTTCATTAGTCTTTTGAAACAACTCAAAGAATTAGATTGTTTAGCAATAATTGATAAGTTATTCCAAAGAGTTGCTCC